ATGGGTTTTCTGTACAATATCAGCTAGTAGAATGAATCCAGTAGTTTCAAGCAAGGTAAAATGTATTAATGTATACTGTCGAAATTTGAGCTTCAAATACATCTGTTTCCAGAATTATCCGCGTTTGAAAGTTAAAATGACGACTCGTCTTTTTCTGGAGACTGGGCCATAATAAATAGAATGCGAATCTTCGAATTGGACATATATATGAAGGGATTATGCTAATTTTGTGTAGTTCTAGTAGATCTGAAGGCTATTAACAAATATTCAAGGCCCAGATCGACCGCCGAAAATGGCGAACCATGATGAATTTCAATACTGAATATGATATGTTAGTATAAATATTGAAAGATATCGACAAGTATAATATACGATATTTATAATATAAATGTATAATTCATTAGGTTTCACAAAGAGTGAAGATTAATTTACTTTTAAACAGTAAACAATATAATATATGTATCTTTTAAGAGAACAGAAACTCTTTCATAGTATCTATACGACATTTTAAAATGTAAATGTCAAACCTAATATATGAGTTTTTTTTTAGTTTTTCAAGAATGAAACAGAAAACTACACTGATCTCGTAACCTTTAATAAATTTATGTGAATATCTGAAAGGTAAGTAATTTTTATGTGAACATTTACTGTCATTTACATAACGTCCAATTCCAGTTATGCAATTTAACAACAGTGAGACAAAGCGTTTTCGGAAATGACTAGCTTTGGTTAGAAATGATGTAACTTTCTGCAGCAATCTGGCCTGAATTAGTTTCACAAGAGAGAATTTGGTAATCACTTGCTGATTGAATGACCGTAGGCCTATATATGTAAATATTTGCAATGAGTTTTTCTCAGTCACGCCAGTTTGACTTTATCTAAACTTGAAGGAGTGTCGACGGATGCTTCTTTAATTTCTTTTTGCATTTCAGTGTTAGTACACATTGTCAAATACGGGTCTAGCATAATATTTTTGCACTATATGTTAAAATCTTAGTCGGTCTATTCTTCAGTCAGATATTCTCAGAAATGAAACAGATTGAAAGGAAGTACCTGAGAGAAAGATCAACAATTATTAAGGATTTATAGGGGGAATTGGGTAATGCAATCTATAATAAAAAATACTTTAAAAAACTTTTTATCTAATATGCCATATAATCGCCATATGTAGCCAAATCATTTTTTTTTTTGAATCAATATTTATTTCTAATGTTCAGTCTAATATACAACAATGATCAAGAGATCTAGAAACAAGCATACTGCTTATATAAATCCATTTCCCAAACAAAACTGTACAATAAATAGTGACACATACAAATAGACAGTAAGAAACAAACACATATACAAATACAACAATAGATGGTAACAGTCACGAGACAGATAATATAAATATTTACATAAGTACATAAAAGATAGACAAACAAACAGCTAGATTGGTAGATAGATAGATAGTCCAGGTTCGACCTAACCCCTATAACCCTAATATGCTCCCGGACTTGATAGCGACAGCTCCTCTTGTTGCCGCATAGAGACTTAACCACTAAAGAGTGACTACAATAACTGGGACTTTGGGTTTATATGGACTTGTCAAATACACTTGGATATCGATAATGCAAATAAAAACAGAAAACTCAACTAAACCAGTAAAAGAACAACCAGTATAAGAACAACCAGAATTGGATATGGAAATAACTCAACCAAACCAGTATAGGATTTGAAAATAACTCAACCAAACCAGTATAAGAACAGCCAGTATGGGAACACCAGTATAAGAACAACCAGAATAGGATGTGAAAATAACTCAACTAATCCAGTATTAGAACAGCCAGTACAGGAACACCAGTATAAAAAAACAACCAGTATAGGATGTGAAAATAACTCAACTAAACCAGTATTAGAACAGCCAGTATAGGAACAACCAGTTTAAGAACAACCAGTATAGAATGTGAAAATAACTCAACCAAACCAGTATAAGAACAGCCAGTATAAGTTATGAAAATAACTCAACTTAACCAGTATAAGATATGAAATTAAAGCAACTAAACCAGTATAAGATATGAAAATAACTCAACTAAACCAGTATAAGAACAGCCAGTATAGGGTATGAAAATAACTCAACTTAACCAGTATAAGATATGAAAATAACGCAACTAAACCAGTATAAGATATGAAAATAACTCAACTAAACCAGTATAAGAACAGCCAGTATAGGGTATGAAAATACCTCAACTTAACCAGTATAAGAACAACTAGTTATAAGATATGAAAATAACGCAACTAAACCCGTATAAGATATGAAAATAACTCAACTTAACCAGTATAAGAACAACTAGTTATAAGATATGAAAATAACGCAACTAAACCAGTATAAGATATGAAAATAACTCAACTTAACCAGTATAAGAACAACTAGTTATAAGATATGAAAATAACGCAACTAAACCAGTATAAGATATGAAAATAACTCAACTTAACCAGTATAAGAACAACTAGTTATAAGATATGAAAATAACGCAACTAAACCCGTATAAGATATGAAAATAACTCAACTTAACCAGTATAAGAACAACTAGTTATAAGATATGAAAATAACGCAACTAAACCAGTATAAGATATGAAAATAACTCAGCTAAACCAGTATAAGATATGAAAATAACGCAACTAAACCAGTATAAGATATGAAAATAACGCAACTAAACCAGTATAAGATATGAAAATAACTCAACCAAACCAGTATAAGAACAACCAGTTATAAGATATGAAAACAACTCAACTAAACTAGTATAAGAACAACCAGTATAAGGTATGAAAATAACTCAACTTAACCAGTATAAGATATGAAAATAACGCAACTAAACCAGTATAAGATATGAAAATAACGCAACTAAACCAGTATAAGATATGAAAATAACTCAACCAAACCAGTATAAGAACAACCAGTTATAAGATATGAAAACAACTCAACTAAACTAGTATAAGAACAACCAGTATAAGGTATGAAAATAACTCAACTTAACCAGTATAAGATATGAAAATAACGCAACTAAACCAGTATAAGATATGAAAATAACTCAACTAAACCAGTATAAGAACAGCCAGGATAGGGTATGAAAATAACTCAACTTGATTAGTATAAGAACAACTAGTTATAAGATATGAAAATAACGCAACTAAACCCGTATAAGATATGGAAATAACTCAACTTAACCAGTATAAGAACAACTTGTTATAAGATATGAAAATAACGCAACTAAACCAGTATAAGATATGAAAATAACGCAACTAAACCAGTATAAGATATGAAAATAATTCAACTAAACCAGTATAAGAACAACCAGTTATAAGATATGAAAATAACTCAACTAGACCAGTAGAAGATATGAAAATAACTCAGCTAAATCAGTATAAGAACAACCACTATAGGATATGAAAATATGTCTACAAAAGCATGTTTGCGGGTGTATTTCGAGTTAAGGATAGAGTATGAAGACAATCAGGAGAGCAGACTAATTCCATGTTACATAAATATACAAGAAGTTCTTAGATCAATATACAAGAAGTTCTTAGATCTTAAACCTTTTTATCAATGAAATATATTCACAAACACTATTGAAAATGGTATCGTTTAAAATATCGTCAGAATCTGGGTCACCAAAGAGTATGATCTGGATATCAATCTTATTATTTGGAAGAGAGTTTATGGTTGTTTGTCTTTTAAATGTAAATTTTGGACAGATTAAGAAATAGTGGTACGAATCTTCTATGGAATTTCCACATGAACACGAAGGATCGTTAGAAAGGTGCATTAGAAATCTGTGAAACTTCAGTTCGCTTTTCATGTTCCGTAGACGACAGAGACGGATTTGAAGGTTACCAAGGTTATAATAATATGGAATGTTGAGATCTTCTTTTTTCAGCTTATTTTTAAATGTTCCAATGGATTGACATGTTTTGACATTTTCAGGCAGAGAATTCCATTTATTAATTGTAGAAGAAAGGAAAGAACTTTTATATTGTTGAGTGTTACACTTGATGAGGCGAAAGCTGTTAGTGTTTCTAAGATTATGTGTTGTGACATCATTTACTTTGGGGGGTAGCAATAAATATAGATATGGTGGAACTGCTCTATTTACCATTTTGTAGAAAAGACAGAGAAGGTGTCTGGAACGCCGAACTTTCAGTGTGGTAAAACCAGATTCCCATACAACATCGGCATAATCAAAACTTGGAAGAATAAAGGATTTATAGATTGTTTCAAGGGTTGAGCGTGATAGTCTGTATTTAAAAGATCTGAAGAAGTCTAATTGCTTTCGAATTTTCTTAACCATGGAATTGATGTGTGAGGAGGACCAGTGACCTGTGGAGTCAAAACATAAACCAAGATGTTTGTGAGATTTTACATCTGGTAGAAATGAGTTTTGAAAATGCAATTGAAAGGAGGATGGAACTTTTTTCCTGCTGAAAGATTGTGTTTTTAAGGAATTAAATTTTATCTTCCAGTTTTCTGTCCACTGAACAAGTCTCTGTCCATTATTTGTATGCAACAGGATTTTCAATTACAAGGAATAGAGATGTATCGTCTGCAAATAACTGAATATTAGAATGAATATCATTTACAATGTCATTTATATAAATAAGGAATAGAAGGGGAAGAACCGATCCTTGTGGAACTCCAGAAGAAACAGGGAGAGGCGTGGACAATGAATTTTGTACTTTCACATACTGATATCGTTTGGATTAGTAATTTTTAATGAGTTCTTGCAGGTTTCCTCTAATTCCAATTAGATGTAACTTATGTATCAGACCATCATGCCACACTCTATCAAATGCCTTCGTGATGTCACAGAAAAAGATTTAACTTCTTTACCTTCATCAAGAGATTTACAGATGTAATCGTAGAAATATGTAAGCTGAAAGATAGTAGAGTCTCCGTGTCTAAATCCTGATTGCCTGTTAGAAAGAGTGTTGTTTTCTATGAGAAAATTATTAATATGTTTATATATACATTTTTCAATAACTTTACCAAGAATGGATAGTAATGAAATTGGTCTGTAGTTTTTACATACATGGCTGTCGCCAGATTTGAAAAGTGGATTTATACTAGCTAGTTTCCAGTCAGAAGGAAAGACCGAGTTAATATGACAAATGTTGAAAAGGTAACTTAAAGGGTACGCCAGGACAGATCTACATTCCTTGAGAACTTTGGAACTGACATCATCGGGACCACATGCCTTAGAACAATCTAGGGTACTCAGAATGTCACATACTTCATCTCTTATGTATACTGGTTGTGCTATTTCGTTTAAATTTGGCTCGAAGCAATATGCAAAAGACTCAACTGGACTTTGACGGATGAATTGACTTGAAAAGTAATTATTAAGGAGTTCATTTTTATCATTATCACCATAAAAAAATTGATTACCTAAATTCAAGGTGGGTATAGAAGTTTTGTTTATTTTTCCAAAACCATAATTCCTGGCGAGATTCCACAAGTTTGAATGGCTAAAGCTGCCATCAGAGATTTCCGAGTCAAGATTTGCAAAATACTCATTTTTGACACGTCTTACTTCAGATGTAACAAAGTTGCGAGAAGTACGGAATTCATACCAGTCACCCGCTGAATTTGACCGTTTAGTGATGCCTATGGCTAACCCTCATTAATCGTCTAAGATAGCCGTTCATCCAAGGACAGTCTTTGAGTCGAATGCAGACAATTTTGTGTTCGACATGAGTAGAGAAAGCTTCCATATCTCATTTACGACATTATTTGCCAGCTGATTTGGGTCATCCGAAGAACTTAAGATGCGGCGTTTTTCACTTTTTTGGCTCGTGCTGACTCTACAGGCTACGATATAGAGTTTGTTTTACAGTTCACATTTAGCTCTTTATCAAGCTGCTGGTGGGCGTATTTGCTTGCGAGACTTGCCGCAAGCCTATGTTTATGTACTTTGTCCAGAACAGTGGAAATGTTTTCATCAAACTATTTCCAATAGGATTTCTTAGTTTTGGGGGTTCTATAGAAGATGCCAATAAGGAAGTGACAGTTTTTACAATCAGTTACCTCTATCCAACATGACTCCAGATCACGATGATGTAAGTCTAGGCGAGGACGGGTATATAAGTGATTTTTTACATATATCGCAACACCACCATAACCATCTGCCCTGTTGGAAAGAATCGGGTCTTTAAAACCATTTAACTGCCAGGAGGTAGTCACGTTTCTGTAAAACATAGAATGTCATAATCAAGGAATTCAGCCTTAATCTCAGTAAGGTGACAGGTGAGACTGCGTACGTTAAGATGTAATAATTTCAGTGTTTTGGCCCAGGATTTGGATGGATATTATACAGAAAGTTCGTTAGAATATACGAAATTCTAGCTAAATCATGACTCAAATTGAAAACTTTATTGATTTCTTTAAACTATTTACATGAAGAGATAACTATCTATGGTCATAATTCATACAATAAAACCAAAGTTGTTCTGGTGAGTTTCTTGATAATAATTGTTAATTAATCTCTTTTGAAAGAAAACCATGATGTATTACATGAAATTGTTAATTGTTAATAATTGTTTGATATAACTGCTAAAAAAGTTTAGTGTGATATCGTGAAATTAATGTGTGAGTTGATCTTTTACAAGTTAATATGATTTTACAGTTGCTCAGCTGGATACTGGCTTAGCTTGTTTGATATCCATTGTTAAATAAAAGACAATATTGAAATTGGATTGGTCATTTATTATACAAATGACAAATAAACATAATAAAATAAAACAACGTATAATACTTGTAAACAATGACTATCAAAGGATGGGTGTTGAGGCTGCACTCTGACAATGGCCGCTTCCCACAACGACTTCTTGACCACCTTGTAAATTTCTAATGAAACTTCCAAAAATGAAGTAATAAAATATATGTTTTGGTTTACTTATGTTCGTTTTGCGCATACGACAAATTACTGATACAAAAATGTTTTATTAAGTGAGTAGACTAGAGGTAATTAGGTTTTCATAAAACTTGGTGTGAATTTAATATCGAGGTGTTTCCAGGCTGTGTTCAGATTAGATTTAAATTCATTCAGTGATGTTGAGTTTATGACGTAGTCAGGAAGAGAGTTCCAATCGTTGACGACACGTACAGTAAAAGTAGTTTTTCCTTACATCCAGTCTGCATTGTTGTTTACTCAACTTCATATGGTGTCCTCTGGTTCAGGTTTTTTGGGATAATTGTAGCATCGAAGTATCAACTGTCTTATCTATTCCACTGATGATTCTATAAACTTGGATGACATCGTTTCTCTTTCTTCTGTATTGTAATGTAGGAAGACCTAGGTATTTCAGTCGTTCGGGGTAGCTTTTGTTTCTTAATGTTGGGATGATTTTCAGGACATTCTCGGTAACTTGGATGTCTTTCTTAAAATTTGGATGCCAGACTGTAACTGCGTATTCCGTCATAGGCCTAATAAGTGATTTGTAAATCGGAAGAAAGGAATCTTTGTTCATGCTTGTGAAGGTTCGTTTGATCATTCCTATCATTCTGTTGGATTTCTTACACTTCTCTGCTATGTGTTGGTCAAATTTATGGTTGGTCTGGAAAGTCACTCCAAGATCCTTTTCTGCACTTTCCTGTTTTAATTTTGAAACTGTTCCGTCTGGTTCTGGAAAGTAGTATTGGTGATGTGGGTTGTTGTGTCCGTAATGCAGAGATTTAGATTTTTCTTTGTTGAATTTCATCTGCCATGTGTCAGTCCAGGCTAACAGATTGTTGATGTCGTTCAGGATTCTCACTCTACCAGAGTTGCTGTTGCATGGTCCGCAAATAGTTTAATCATCTATTCACAGCTGCCGGAATGTCGTTGATGTAAATAAGGAACAATACTGGGCCTAAAACACTACCTTGGGGGACACCACTCTGCACCCTTGTCCACGGAGAATAAGTAGAGTTTAGAATAACTCTCTGTTTTCGGTTTATTAGAAATTCTTCAATCCACTTCAATATCTCCCCCTCGATACCTAGTGCTTGAACTTTTATCAATAAACGTTTATGGGGGACTTATGGTCAATAGTTCGAGGCTTTCTTCGCACAACCCTTTTTGAAGAGAGGCACCACATTTGCTTCTTTCCAGCTATCTGGCAAGGTTGCTTCATCTATTGAGCTCTGGAATACTTTTCTAAGGGGTTCTGCTTTCATTGGACTCAATTCCTTTAGTATCTTTGGGTGAAGTTTGTCTGGTCCTGGAGATTTGGTAGTGTTGAGTTTGGACAGCTTCTGAAGTACATTTTCTTCTTAGATGGTAATAGAACTGGGTCTTGTTTCTAAAATAGACAAGTCTAGGTAGACTGGTACAGTTTTCGTCAGTAAACACACTTGCAAAGAAATTATTTAGTTCTGTAGCTTTGTCTATGTCTTCAGTCAGCAACGATCCGTTAGTTGTTATCAGATTCTTGATTGGATTTTTTGCTTTTATTGTGGTATGTATGTATCGCCAAAAACCTTTGGGATTCTCTTTGATTTCTCACCCGATTCGCCTATTATTAGTTGATTCTTTCAAGAAGTTGTTAGTGGCTATTACTGCTTATAACATAACAAAGGCGCATTTCCGCCTCCAGAGGTAAATGTTAGTTGCTACAAACAGCTAACAAAGGCTATCACGTTAATAATAACCCACTGATCGCAGCAGCTAACAAAGGCTAACAATAATACTGCTGCCAACAGCTAACAAAGGTTAAAATTAATAATAGAAAAATATATTCATAATTTCATGGTTATACCTAGACCCGGCATTCCTTTTGCCTCGGCGGAGTTACCAAGACATGGCTATTGTAACTAAACCTCAGGTAGTGCCTAGGTATTGTTACTAGACCTCTTGTAGTACCTGGGTATTGTTACTAGACCTCTGGTAGTATCTGGGTATTGATACTAGACCTCTGGTAGTACCTGGGTATTTATACGAGACCTCTGGTAGTACCTGGGAATTGTTACTAGACCTCTGGTAGTGCCTGGGTATTGCTCCTAGACCTCTGGTAGTACCTGGGTATTAATACTAGACCTCTGGTAGTACCTGGGTATTGCTACTAGACCTCTGGTAGTACCCGGGTATTGTTACTAGACCTCTGGTAGTGCCTGGGTATTATTACTAGACCTCTGGTAGTACCTGGGTATTGTAACTAGACCTGTGGTAGTACCTGGGTATTGTTACTAGACTTCTGGTAGTACCTGCGTATTGTTACTAGACCTCTGGTAGTACCTGGGTATTGTTACTAGACCTCTGGTAGTACCTGGATATTGTTACTAGACCTCAGGTAGTACCTTGGTATTCTTACTAGGCCACTGATAGTACCAGGGTATTGTTCCTTGGCTACTATTGCCAGCCTATTGTTACTAGGCCTAGTTGTAGTACTAGGTATCATAGCTAGGCCACCAATTATGCCTCCGTATTGCTACTAGACCTCTGGTAGAACCTGGGTATTGTTACTAGACCTCTGGTAGTACCTGGGTATTGATTTACTAGACCTCTGGAAGTACCTGGGTATTGTTACTAGACCTCTGGTAGAACCTGGGTATTGTTACTAGACCTCTGGTAGTACCTGGGTATTGTTACTGGGTATTGTTACTAGATCTCTGGTAGTACCTGGGTATTGTTACTAGACCTCTAGTAGTACCCGGGTATTGTTACTAGACCTCTGGTAGTACCTGGGTATTAATACTAGACCTCTGGTAGTACCTGGGTATTGCTACTAGACCTCTGGTAGTACCCGGGTATTGTTACTAGACCTCTGGTAGTGTCTAGGTATTATTACTAGACCTCTGGTAGTACCTGGGTATTGTAACTAGACCTGTGGTAGTACCTGGGTATTGTTACTAGACTTCTGGTAGTACCTGCGTATTGTTACTAGACCTCTGGTAGTACCTGGGTATTGTTACTAGACCTCTGGTAGTACCTGGGTATTGTTACTAGGCCACTGATAGTACCGGGGTATTGTTCCTTGGCTACTATTGCCAGCCTATTGTTACTAGGCCTAGTTGTAGTACTAGGTATCATAGCTAGGCCACCAATATGCCAGGGTATTGTTACTGGGCCTCCTGTAGTATCAGGGTATTATTACTGGTCCACTGGTAGCACCGCATGGGCCACTGGTAGTACCCGAGTATTGTTACTGGGCTATTTATAGTACCAGGCTGTTGTTACTAGAGACCACTGGTAGTACCTGTATAATGGTACTGGGCAACCGGTAGTTTTAGGTTGTTGGGACTGGGTTACGTGTACTACCGGGTTAGGTTATTGTT